CTCTACAACTTACCGTACATTTACCATAATCTCCTGGAAAGCTCCCAAAATGAAGCGAGACCCTCATGGGTCGATTTTGCGACATCCGTACCCTAACTCAAGGAAACCGGATAGCGGAATGGCACCAGAAGTTTCGTAGCTTTGAATTTCCGAATGTTCTACAGTTGAAAAAGATTATGACAGTTGGTGTAAATAATTGGCTTTCCAGCAAATTTTGCAAGTTTCCATTTTTCAAATTTGTAAATAAGTAGTTTTTACGGTACAATGTTGTATATTTTTTGCTTTTTCTCAGTTTGGAGGGTTATAAAACTCAAACACATTATACCATAATGTCGATTTTTCTCATATTTGTTTTTATACTGTAAACCACCTGTCACCTCAAATTATTGAGTGAACTGACGAGGGCGGAATTGTTAGACACAGAAATTCACATAACATTTATTCTTCTTCGTATTTTAGCAGTCAAGCGTACCAAACGATGGGGATTACGATGATTTACCTGAGTCCTCCAGTGAAAATGGAGAAGCTGGCGATTTACCACCACCATCTGACAAAGCTGGAGATGCCGATGATCTACCTCCTTCTGATAAAGCTGACGAGGACGATGATCAACCATCGTCTTCTGACAAGTCTAAAGAGAACGATGATCTACCGCCGCTCCTTGATAAAACTGCGAAGGACGATGATCTACCATCGCTCTCCGATAAAACCGGAGACGATGTTCTACCACCGCCCTCCGTTGAAGTTGAAATAGCTGATTATGACGATATAGTTAGTTAACTTTCTTTGATCACAATCGCATTCAGAAGCTGGGCTTTTTTTCTTACGCTGGAGTACGTGGTCTCTAGAAGATGCCTTTCCAAGAAAATTATCTAGTCGAACATACTGCAGGAGAACTTACGCACATGCTATGACTATTTGGTTTCAGCAGTAATCGAAATTTTTTCTACTCGGACATTCAAGATCAGTGCTAAGGACCTACTCAATATTTGGCCCTGTTTTTCGGTCCCTCAGAAGACTTCCCTAATTTTCTCCTGCAAAGACCCACGTTTGCTGCTTCTTCAAAATTATGACTTCGCTGTGAAACA